CATTTTTGCTCTTCGCTGCCCTACGTTAAAAAGGGGTGTTGCATTGACAGGTAACTGATTGGTTGTTTTTCAAGTGAAATGTCAATCTACAAAGTACTCTGTCCTCTTTACAGATATATATTTTCTACCAAACATACACAAAAATAGTAATCTTCGTAGATACATTTTTGTATGTTTGATGTTTTGAAATAGAATATATAGATATATAACGCTTGTCCACAATTGGGCTACAACAGCAGAGGTGGAACGGATGCACGTTTCTTACATGACAAAAGTTTACGCTTGTTAGCCTTCTTACAAAACACTCTGAGGTCAGCGGCGGATCGAATTGACAAGTCTGATTTTCGTGGCAGATATGGGACGGTCAATTATCACACCGCTTTTAGATCTATACTAATAAAGGCTTTCCAGGGTGACAAATGACCGTCCACACCTTCCCTTGTCTCATGGTGTAGGATTCTAGGGGGATAGGGTTGTCATGAATTTAACGTCAACAAGCGCAACTTTCATCTGGCCAGTGTATGCATGCCCTGTCGCTAACTCGTAGCTCGTTTTGCCAACTTTCTCCAGGACACGAAACCTGTTGAGCAGAAAGGCCGCGTAGCGGAAGGACCAGGCATACACGCGCATGCTTCAAAGACGCCTCACATTCTGTACTGCCCTTTCTGCCTGACCATTGGAGGCATGCTGGTTAGTCTCCAGGCTCGTTGTGCCCTTTGTCGGTACTGGTTCGTCTCTGACGAAGCCATCACCAGGCATGTTCCAAACTGATCTGATCTCTCTCGCACCTTGTCCACAGGTCCTTCTTCACCTCTCTCATCCTCACCTGTGTAGGTGTAGAAAAAGTCCAGCTGAGTGACATTCCTTCCGAGGTCAGCCTTGTCATCTCTCTGCTCAAACTTGTCCTCCTTGGCTCTTGTAGCCACACATGCTTGGCACCAAGGAGCATAGGCTATAGGGTAGGTGAGTCACGAAATGAGCCTCTTGCTCCTTGAGAGATGGGAGTCTCGGCTGTCCCAACGCTGTTGGCTTCCTTTGTTGTTCCTCGAACAGCTTGCTGGCGATGACAGCTTCATCTGGTTTTCAAGGTTCACCTTGAAGGCAATCAGTCGGTCGAGGAGCCTTCTCTTGCTTCCACTGTCGGGCAACTGTCTTTCCTTGCAAGCTAGCTCAACTCCTTCACTGTCATCTTCTCAGAGTAGAGCGTCTCATCCAGCTCTACTTCACTCTGCCTCTCAGAAATCACCATCTTTTCAATGTCCTTTGCGTCGATCTGCATCTCCAGATCGTCCTCATTCTCACAGTCATCCTCTGACCAGTCTGTCCTGCCCTGAGCTTCTCTCACCCTTTCCTCAGGCACGGGACGAATGGGAACTTCTGAATCTTGCTCTCAATAGTCTTCCATTTTGGAGGCTGCAAAGAATGTGATAGTTATCTGAGCGCCACCCAAACCGATCTTGCGATAGGCCTGAGATCCTAGCTCCATGTAGTCACCCACATTCTGCACCTGAGTCCACAGACCATCACCCAAGGTCATGGTTGCCTTCCATGTCTCCTCAATCTGACCTCTGGGATCTGTCAGAGCGGTGGCCACTGGGTCGCTGTAGGCCACAATGCCATTTGCAAGTCGATGCCACCCTGGCACCAACTCCATTTCTTTCACATACCTGCTCGCTCTCACTCTCCTCCTCACACACGTCCTCGTAGTTCTCCACTTCGACCATACCCACACGCCATCGGTATGCGTTGTCCTCTGATCCTGAGCCACCTCCAGTCAGGTCAAAGATCTCCAGGCTGTGGGAATCTGGTGGAGTCTGCAATCTTACCATCTTGACGGAGGATGTGGTTGTCACCGTAGATGCTCCTGTCTGGCCTGTCGATGAAGAAGCTCCTCCACTGCCCTCCTCCACTGGTGCCACTGGCTTGCTGCTCCAGCAATCTTTGGCGTAATGCCCAACTTTGCCACAGTTATGGCACGCGCCGGTGACCTGTCTTTCCTTTGTCTTGGCTCTTGCCTTTCTTCCCTTGTCCACCCTTTTCCCACAGGCTCCTTCCTTTGTCACCACTCTTCCACGAGCCTTTGCCTTCTGACTTGCTCTTTCCTTTCTCCTGTCCTTTGGACTTTCCTTTGTCCTTCGACTTGCTCTTCCCATGTCTCCTCTGACGTAGTCCACGTCCATCGGCACTGCCTCATCCATGCCCATTCTGGTGGCAAACTCAAGCTGTTTGAGCTATCCCATCTTGTTGCCAAGGCCTCCAACTCCATCACTTTGTTCTTCAACTCGTAGGTGGCGGTGTCTGAGATCCATAGCTGGAGATGGGCTCTCAGGTGTGCTGGCACAGCTTGTAGGATGGGTGCAACCTTAAGAATTGGCGTCATGAGCATAGTCATGACCTGAAATCCGCTGCCGCTCATATTCATTGACAATGGACTCGTAGAGCGGCAGCTGCTCAGATATGGACTTTCCTTCAGCGAATTGTACCCGAGACAGCTGGCTCAACAAAGCCAAGGACCGGGCTCTTGTGACCGGTTGCATCTCTCGTAGGAGCCTCTGCCAGGCTTCATAGCCATTTTCCTGCCTCATGTGCCTGATCAACTTCAAAGGTCTGTTTCTGAGGTAGGTGATGAGCAGGCTGTACAGGCGGATGGAAGACGCTTTGGCGTCGTCCGTCATCTCATTCAGGTTCTCCTCCACCAACCGCATGCTGTGGGCCATGCCAGGGTCGATGCCCTTCACATAGTTCTCAAAGGAGAACTTCCAGTCACTCCATTGTTTCAGCTCGTTGTCCCTGGTGTCGGGCTTGAAGATGTCTGGGGTCTTCAGATGGCGTGACCACACCGTTGAACTTTGGCTCACGCTCAACTTCTCCAGAGCATTTCTGTAGGCTCTCCTCTGCCATTGCTGCCAGATAGGAGATGTAGGGCCTGTACGTCCTTGTGGTCAAGGTGGGTGTCTTCTCGGGGCTGTTGGCCTCGAAGTCAAAGTAGGCCAAGAGTTGGGCGAAGTCCCAATTGGCCGCCACCAGGTCACTAATGACCTCTTTGTTGGTGTTGTCCCTCAGCTTCTCGATCTTCTCGATGAGCAACCAGCTGTTTCTGCTCCCTGGGTCGCTTCTTTCCCTTCTTATCCTTTCTCTGACCGTCAGTGATGCTTTCACCACCAGGTCACTGCGTGCCCACTTCAGCTTCCCCACGCGTTCCTCGGTCACCACCAGGATGGTGTGGAGGTACCGGATCCTCCCACTTGCTGCTCTGGCGCACCGCGTTCGCACTCTGGTAGTGGCAGATCTCTTGAATGGCGGGATGACCAGCCAGAATGCCACCGAAGAGGATCTTGTGGAAGATCGCGATCTCGACCTGGTGCTTCGACCAGGAATCTTGGCGCCTATGGCGTGGGGTAGGGAGCCGGGCGCTTTACGACCCGGCTCCGCTACCATGCGAAGCGTGTGATCGCTTTTCGCTTGGGCCTAAAAGGTCAAATGGTACATTTCTTGATTTGCGCTCAGGTGTATGGGTGGGTGCACATGCTCATGCCCCACTAGAATCTGACATGTTATATATTTAGCCGGCTACGACAAGAAGACTCGGTTTGCCCCGGAACATTGACAGGCACACCCGCAGGACCGGAACACTGAGCAAACCATTCAAATCCGAAGCGACTGTTGAATTGCATTCTTAAAGTCTTAAAACACAAGAAACCTAAAGAGCCACAGTACGCATTGTCATGTGCCATGTACGTTTTCTTCAGTCGTCAGTCTTCACAGGAGGAAACAGCCAGACGGATCCAGACGGCAAAAACAGAAGCGCATCGGAAGGCCAAGGCACGCTTGCGGTTTGTTTTCCTGGCGAGAAAGGGTCGTAAAGGTGCCTTGAAGGCAGGAGAAAATCAGCAACACTCGGTCACTTCATGTTCTACCCCGCCCAGTTAGTGACAAGAAACCCAGTGATGCGGGGCAGCCACAATAGCACGGAGAAACACTGCTCTGTTAAACAAACAATCTGCCACGTGGTCCAATGGAAATGATTCAAGGGTGTCGGTGTCTCATGATCCCTTTCATTTCCCGGTGTCCTTGCCAATAACCACAGCAAACGTCACAGGTGTCCTGCAACAAACAAGTTTGCGCAGAGTAGCAAACAATAGCATGTACTGTAATCTTCCAAAACAACAGCCTTGAAAAAAATACTGGTTCTGTTCTTTCCGCTTCCCCAGTTTGGTACGCACAAGCCGATTGTGAAACTGGCCGTGATCGAAACGTCGGATGTCCAAGAATTTCGTTTAATGTTCATCTGTCTTTGTTGGAGGTCAACCTAGGCCTGAACAAAAAATAGCCAACAGCAGGCCCACGCTGGCTCTGCTGCCAAACAAAGGCGGCAACGAAAACCGAGAAAAAATCAGGCAGAAAAACATGGCAGTTCTCTGAAGATCCGCTCCCCGGCATCAACACCGAAGAGAAAGGCCCCATCTGCTTGACGTGCCTTGGTGCATGAAAGGTACCTCTCTTTGTCGACAACTGGCAGAAAAATCTGAAACCGTTTTCGTGCCAGAAATTGTACCAAGTTGCTGTCTTTTCACTTGATGCACAAAAGGCTCAACCAGTGCACATGTTTGTGATATCTGGGCATGAACTCTACTGCGAACTCTGCACACTCCTTCTCAACACTTGGAGCATGGTTTTCGTCTCCTCGTGTTGCTTACAATGCCGTCACATTCTCCAGCATCTCGAGCTATCGGCTTCTTTCGTAATCAACTTGGATTGCTTCAACCTACACTTGCTTCCTCAACGAAAGTGTATCGCGCCGTCGGTTCAACTTCTCAATCTTGTCCTGTAGCCTCCCATGAGGCATTGCGTTCAGTTCCCTCTTGCGTTCGACGTTTTCTGGGTCTTCTGCTGCCGCCGCACTGCCCTTTGGTGTTCGCGACGCTAGTGTGATGGATGACGCCGTATCACTTTCCACTTGAACTTCTCGTCTTCCAGGCTCCTTCAGCTTACCTCTGCATACTGTTAGGATCCTCTTCTTCCAAGAGCCCACCGTTGAGAATGAGACCACAGTGGATACTCCTGGCATACCTTTCCAAAAGGTCCAAACTCCACACTATGGTCACCTTCCTTTCTTTGGTGGAACACATATTCAAGCTCGGCCGATCTCGTTTTTCCGACCCGGTCATCAATCCATACCCTCTTGATTCTCGTCCTCTTCTCTGGTCGCTCTGACTCGACCCTGCACTTCAGGTGCCTGTTGTCGAGCACGCTCTCGTCCATTGGATGGGTTGGTTCATTTTCCAGCTGATCTTCATTTCCATCTGCGTTATTCAAAAGAACCTCGACACTCTTCACGCCGCCCATGGGGTTCTGTTTCCCTGGACGTCTTGGAGCTGCCTTTGCGTTTGGGATCCCCTTTGCCTTTCTTTCCTTTGCCTTTAGAACATTTTCCTGTGCCTTTCTGGAAGTCGTTCTTGCCCTTCTTCCATTTTCCTTTGTCCTAGATGCGGTCGACTTCCATGGGCACAGGGCCTTTATAATCATTGCAAATTCCGAAGACTTGTTCCGTCAACTTAGGGTGCTTGACGGCGTTACCCATTGCGAGGTTCAAGTAGGACTTCAACTGACCTCCAACACACCTCAAAAGTACTGATGCCTTGAGCTCAACAGTTTGAGGCTGGAGCAGGCTGTTCATCGTGAAAGCAGGCCAAGTCGTTGCAGCAGCCAACAATGCCAAGCCTGGAGCCTTTCAAGTCGGCGTCAAGTGTTGTTGAGACTCCTCCACACATCAAAGCCATTCGAACGCTCACAACCTTCACCACCTTGAGCGCACGGCCTCTCATCAGGGAAGACCAAACAGCTTGATGCACCACGTCTTCTCGTCTGGATCTGCCAAGTGCAATCACCTGGTTTCTGGTGGATCTCTTTAAATGCCTTTTTGTAGCCTTCATCGACTGAGGACGAGCACGTCTCCAACACCCATGACCATTCCCTGAAGACTTTTGTCTTCTTTGCGGGCGTTGTATTCAAACACGCTTGGCTTTGCAGTCAACTTCGACCAACCTGTGCTGCTTCCTTGTCTTCCATTATATATGTGTGCTTCTTGCCACTTGCTCCAAGACTTCTCGAAAACTGCCAGGCACATAAAGGTCACACAGGGATTTGGTTTGATCACAAACACCTTTCTACTCGCGAATACTTTCCTACCAAAAAGAAAACCTGCAATAAAGCTGGCCACTTAACTTATATAATGGGGCGCAAACTTATTTCATGCATTCCTGCAATTTGCCTATTGACCTATTGACCTGGCATGAGCATCAGCCTAGTCCCCACTCGCACTCTGCTTTGTGCAAGTAGCACGTCCTTTGCTTGAATGAATTCTGCCTACAAAACTCCTTCTCGCATCCCATGTTGGGTTCCCTGCACAAAGACGTCAGCACCAAACACCTGAAGATCAGTGTCTTCCTTCGCATGTGGTCTGAGCCTGTGATTTACCCACCGTTCGAAACGAAAACACCATAACTGTTCATTGCTCACAACACCTACAATTACAATGTGCCAGTGGGGCCTGCAAAAATTAAGAGTGTTGGACTTTAAGCTTCCCTCCAAGTTGAATATCACACCCCCGTCCTCAAGGAAGTCAATGTTGTTCCGTCAATTGTCGGGTCTCTGCGCTGGGCAAAACCAAGAGTGCAACCTATGTTGGGCCTGGAAGTGGAAGCTGCACAAGCTGGTGGATGTTAAAAAGAACGTTACACCAACCAAAACCTGACGTGCTTGATCTTGCCTCGTGAAGTTCTGGACAGGCTATGAAGCCGAAGCCCGTCTTCTGCGAGAAGGACCTGCAACAAAGATCCTAGTAGCGATGCCCTTTGTTACTAGTAGCTTCTTGCTGCTAGTCTTTCAGGACCGCGCGTCCATTAGGAATGGACACATAGTGTTGATATCCCCTTGCGTCGCGAAGCATTTTGTGCTTCTCCTTTCCGGTCAGAACAAGTCTGCGAACTGCCACCCAATCTCTGAGTCGCCAGCTTTAAAGTGCCCATGGCTCGCTTTTCCTCGGAAGCGACCCCAGGCAATAATTGAGAATTGATGACTTAAGCTTGCGTTGAGGGCAGCCTCTTGCGCCAGAGAAGGAACTGCCAAGTGTCTCAGCCAGGAAGTGCCTTTCGGCCTCTTCCCGCGAACTGCATAGACAGCAACCCAATGTACCAACATGCTCCTGTCAAAACCAGCCAGCACGGGTGAGAGATCAAAAAACAATATTTTTAAACAATATTTTTAACGTATCATTAAAAAAATATTCTACACGCATCAATTAACAAGATGGAGCCCACGAACCCGAATGCAAGCACATTCGAAAAGCTACATATGTCCAAATGACACTCTTGTAGGACACTCTTGTGGGACACTCTTGTGGGTCACTCTTGTAGGAAACTCGTGTGGGACACTCTTACGGGACACTCTTGTGGGACACTCTTGTGGGACACTCTTGTAGGACACTCTTGTGGGATACTCCTGTAGGACACTCTTGTGGGACACTCTTGTGGGACACTGTTGCGGGACACTCTTGTGGGACACTC